TAATTTCTCTGTTGTGCTTTCTTTTTTTCTAAAATGAGACTAGTGGGCTGGGCATTTAACTCACTGGTGTCGCCCCCTGCCTCGCAAGCACAAGGACCGGAGTTCGATCCCCGGTACCAAAAAAAAGAAAAAAAAAAGATAAAATGAGACAAGCAAATATCTACCTTATAGGTTTGATATAAAGTAAAACAAAAATAACTGAGAAAGGAGGTGTTAGTACCATATCTGGCACACTGGAATTGCTCAGTAAATTGTAGATAATTTTGTCACCATTCATTGATAAATCTTTGAAAGGAAATTATAATCCTTAGCCTCATTTTCTTACCTTGCCTTCCTTAACACCACCTGCACAATTTACCTGAATATTAGATGCTTTCTCCTAGTCATCAAATCATGTCTTTTGCTCAGGTTTTTTCTTTCTGTATCTCTTGATAGCATTGATTGTTTTTTAAGCACTTCCTGAATATCCGTTTGTGGATTTCTCTGTCTTCACTTCTTCCCTCATTTGCATTCTTGTTCTGCCATTTACAATTCTTTCTTTCCTCCATCCTCTAGATTTCATTGTTCTTCATTCTGTCCCTTGTCCTCTTCTTGCATTTTCTTCCTTAGTAATTACAACCCCTGTTTTACCATTGTCATCTCCTATGTCCTTTCTCCTGAATCCAGCTTTCTGCTGTATATCTGGAGGGCCCTCAGCACCTCAACTGAATCCTCTCCTTTACTACACAAGATAAATCTTAGATTTTTCTATTCTAGAATTTTCTTTTTCTATTAATGATACCACTAGAATCAGATCTCAGTCATCTTTTGACTCTTTTGCTTTCCAAATATTAAAACTATGGTCAAGTCTTATATGTGGTACTGTGAGAATAGTTTTCTTTTATATAGCCAATTTCAGAATTTTATTAACAGTTGCTAAGTTGCTGCTGTCCAGATGTCTTAATTGCTTTTCTCTCATTTTGCTCAGAGTTAAAGGGGGAAAGGTTTATTTAGCTCACAGTTTGTAGAGGCTTTAGTCCATAATTGGCTGGCTTCAAGGCAGGGTGGGACATGGGGGGGTCAGTTCATGGCCAGTAGAAGGTAGTGAAGCAACACAATAGCCAGGGAGCCGCCCTCAACAGCATCTTTCTGCATCTTTTATCTTACGCATTTTTTTTCCCTTGTTACGGGGGATTGAACTCAGGACCTCACAGATGCTGCACTACTGAGCTAAATCCCCAGCCCTTATCCAGACTATTTAGGGCAAAGGGCACTCACACCCTTAATCCTAGTGCCCTTGAGCCTAGCATTGAATCAATTCCAGAAAAAGCTTCATTTATGACCACATAAGGCTTTGGGGAGACATCTAAACACAAGCCATAACACCATGACAATTAACTTTTATTTTAATTTATTCCTTTCTTTCAAGAAAACTTTATTATCTGTGATAACAGTCCATATCCACTTTCACATTGCTCACCAAACACACTCCCACTTGGCCACTCAACAACTGGTGCTCTTAACGCAGTTGGCCCTTTCCAAGCCCATCTTCCGTTGTGCTTTGTGATTTTCCTTGTACTCACTTCTGCATCGTCTGAACACATTTCTTACATAAGCATCCATGTCTTCACTTACATTTTCATTTGGATAGTACAGGTATACTTTAATAAGATTTCAGTTGGTATTAGATAAGTAGGTAAATGTCATTTTATTTAGTTATTTATTTGTTTGTTTTTTTGTTTATGTTTTGGTATGGAGGTTTGAACTCAGGACCTTGGGATTGTCAGGCAGGCAGTGGAACTACTGAGCTAAATCCCTGGCCCTAAATGGCATTTTAAAATATTGCTTTCCTGTTGAGAATTTTTAATTAGCATAATTTCTATTAAATTACTGAATTATTTTCTCATTATTTAAAATTCTTCCTCCAAAATCCCTTTTAGATGTGTCTTAAGGTAATAAGCTCCTATCTTAATAAACAGATTTTTTTTTTTTTTTATTGAGTTTATTGGTACATTTAGGGATACAGTACAGTTACATTCATTGTTGGGATCATGTACCTTTACATGGCAAGTCTTGATTCTCATTTTTTTCCCCTTACCTCTGCCCTCCCTTCACCCCCTCCTCCCCTCCCCATCTACAAACACTTTATTTTCATCTTTTCATTCTCTCACATTTTTTTCTTTTCCCTTTTTGTTCTTCCCCTACGTATCACACCTTCCCTACACCTTTAGCTCCTTTCCTCCCATTTCTAAATGTCAGTAATCTTATTAGAATCTTATGCATTGTTGCAGAATATTCACACCAGGGAAACTATTTGGTATTTACACATGTGGGACTTATTTATTTCACTTAGGAGTATATCTTCAATATGTATCCATTTTCCTATGAATGAATCTATTCTCTCGCTCTTTATGGCTGAGTAATATTCCATTTTATAGAAAAACCACAACTTCTTTATCCAGTTTCCAACGGATGGGCAAATAGGTTGTTTCCAAGATTTAGCTATTACAAACTGTGCCGCTATAAACATGGGTGCACATACTTCTCTGTGATATGATTCTTTTAGTTCTCTTGGAAAGATACCCAACAGAGGGATGGCTGGGTCAAATGGAACCTCCAGTCCAAGCTCTTTGAGGTATCTCCATATTGATTTCCATAGTGGTTGCACTAGTCTGCACTCCCACCAACAATGGAGGAGGGTTCCTTTCTCCCCACAACCCCGCCAACATTTGTTATTGTGTGATTTCTTGATAGCAGCCATTCTTTGTGGGGTGAGGTGGAATCTCAGTGTTGTTTTCATCTGCATCTCTCGAATGACCAGTGATGTGGAACATTTTTTCATATATTTTCTTGCTGCTTTCACTTCTTTGTATGAGAAATGTCTGTTCATTTCGGATGCCCATTTTTGGATCGGGTCTTTATATTTGGGGGGACTGATTGTTTTGAGTTCTTTATATATCCTTGATAATAGTCCTTTGTCTGAGGTACAGCTGGTAAAAATTTTTTCCCACATTGTAGATTGTCTCTTAGTTCTGCTAATGGTTTCTTTTGAAGTACAGAAGCTTTTTAGTAAGATGAGATCCCAGTTGTTGATTCTTTCTGCTAGTTCCCGTGCTACTGAGGATTTGTTCATAAAGTCTTTTCCTATACCAATGTCTTCCAGAGTTCTGCCTAACTTACTTTCCAGCAAGTTTAATGTTTCTGTTTTAATATTTAGATCTTTAATCCATTTGGATTTTAATTTAGTGCATGGCGAAAGATAAGGGTCTAATTTTAATCTGTGACAGGTTGATATCCAGTTTTTCCAACACCATTTATTAAAGAGGCTATCTTTCCTCCACTGAGGATGGTGAGCTCCTTTGTCGAAGATGAGGTAGCTGAGTACATCTGCATTTGTTTTTGTGTCTTCCAGTCTGTTCCATTGATCCTCAGGCCTATTTCTTTGCCAGTACCATGCTGATTTTATCACAGTGGCTTTGTAGTATAGTTTCAAATTGGGAATTGTTACACCTGGTGCCATGTGACTGTTGCCTATAATGGCTTTTGCTATTCTAGGTCTCTTGTGGTTCCAAATGAATTTTTGGATTCTTTTTTCTAGTTCTGTGAAATATAGTGTTGGAATTTCAATTGGCATTGCATTGAATGTATATAGCAGTTTCGGTAGTATGGCCATTTTCACTATGTTGATTCTTCCTACCCAGGAGCAGGGGATATCTTTCCATTTTTTTATATCCTCTTCGATTTCTTTTTTCAGAGTGCTGTAGTTTTCAGTGTAGAGATCTTTTGTTTCTTTTGTTAGATTGATTCCTAGATACTTCATTTTTTTGGATGCTATTGTAAAAGGAATTTTTTCCCTTATTTCTCTTTCTGTCTGTCTGTTATTTGTGTATAGAAAGGCTATTGATTTTTGGGTATTCACCTTGTATCCAGATACTTTACTGAATCTGTCAATTAAGTCTAGAAGTTTTTTGGTGGAGTTTTTTGGATCTTCAATGTAGAGTATCATATCATCAGCAAATAATGATAGTTTAACTTCTTCCTTTCCTATCTTTATTGCTTTAATTTCTTTCTCTTGTCTAATTGCTGTGGCTAATGTTTCCAGAACTATATTGAAGAGAAGTGGCGATAGTGGGCATCCTTGTCTTGTTCCTGATTTTAACATGAAGGTTTTCAGTTTTTGGCCATTCAATATGATGTTGGCTGATGGTTTTTCATAAATAGCCTTTATTAAATTGAGGTATAGACCATCTATTCCAATTTTTTGCAGGGTTTTTATCATGAATGGGTGTTGAATTTTATCAAATGCTTTTTCTGCATCTATTGAGAGGATCATATGGTTTTTGTCCTTGACTTTGTTAATATAATGTATTACATTCACTGACTTTCGTATGTTGAACCACCCTTGCATCTCTGGAATAAATCCGACTTGGTCATGATGGATGATCTTCTTAATAATCGTCTGTATTCTGTTTGCTAGTATCTTATTAAGGATTTTTGCATCTATATTCATTAAGGAGATTGGTCTGTAGTTCTCCTTTTTGGTTGTATCTTTCTCTGGTTTGGGAATCAGAGTGATACTTGCTTCCAGGAATGAATTTGGAAGTATAAAAACAGATTGTTTTTAACTCACTTAAAATAATGCAAACTTATTTAAAATAAGCTAGAAGAATTACTTCTGCTTTATTACTGTCTTTAAATGTAATTATTGTCTTGAATGAGACTTTTTAAATGTCTTTATTTTTTGTGAATTCCCAGAATTCTTTCAATATTCAGCATATAAATCCAATATGAAATGTGATGTTTTATTCTCTGAAGTATAGCATGTATGAAGCATATAGTACCCATGCTTAACTTTTTTCTTAGTCAAATACGCTATTTTCTGGCTTGTTTCTTATAATTGTATCTCAGATAGTCTTTTATATTTTGTATATAGGTCTCCTTTTTCTCATCAGAGTGATTCTGTGGAGATGACATTTCTAATTTTCCCTCCTTTTTTTCATCTTCTTTTTTTTTTAATCCAGGGCTTTTTTCTTACGGTTTCCCCGGAGTCAATATTAAAGGTGGCTCAACATGCTTCTGAAAAAAACAGGATTTTCACTTTGAATCTGTCTGCACCATTTATTAGCCAGTTCTACAAAGAACCATTGATGAAAGTTATACCTTATGTTGACATACTTTTTGGAAATGAAACGGTGAGTTACCTTGTTTTTTTTTTTTTAATGAAGTACTTAGTTTTTATTTTTCAGATCTGTATATGTGTGTTTACAAAGATACGAATAAATTTTCTAAATGTTGTATAAATATCCTCAAGAATTACATAAAATTACCACAATATAGATTGCTTTGGCTCAGTGTGTTTAGTTTTTCCTTCAGTATATACTAACCTCTTAGTAAAATATTTATTTTTTAAAAGGTTAGATTATTGACATTTAATTTGCATATAGTAAAATTTCTAATTCCCTCCTTTTTTTCATCTTCTTTTTTTTTTTAATCCAGGGCTTTTTTCTTACGGTTTCCCCGGAGTCAATATTAAAGGTGGCTCAACATGCTTCTGAAAAAAACAGGATTTTCACTTTGAATCTGTCTGCACCATTTATTAGCCAGTTCTACAAAGAACCATTGATGAAAGTTATACCTTATGTTGACATACTTTTTGGAAATGAAACGGTGAGTTACCTTGTTTTTTTTTTTTTAATGAAGTACTTAGTTTTTATTTTTCAGATCTGTATATGTGTGTTTACAAAGATACGAATAAATTTTCTAAATGTTGTATAAATATCCTCAAGAATTACATAAAATTACCACAATATAGATTGCTTTGGCTCAGTGTGTTTAGTTTTTCCTTCAGTATATACTAACCTCTTAGTAAAATATTTATTTTTTAAAAGGTTAGATTATTGACATTTAATTTGCATATAGTAAAATTCTTCCTTTTTATTATAGCTTATCTTGAGTTTTTCAAATACATACTTGACCTGACACTGTGACCATAGCAAGATGAAAAACTTATCACTTACTTAATTTCTTCAGTCTGAATCTTTGTAATTTTAGTTTAATAAAGCATGAGTAAATATTTATATAACTGTATTTCATTTATATTTAACTTGTCTGATGATACCATGTTTTTGCCACTGTTTGTATTTCACAGTAGATGATACAGTAGAATTCCCTTTGAAGTACTATAGCTTTTCCTCTTTAGAATACATTTACTTTTTTGGGGGGCGGGTACAGGGGATTGAACTTGAGACCTTGCGCTTGCAAAGCAGGTGACAACACCACTGAGCTACATCCCCAGCCAACTTTTTCTCTTTATAAGAAATATATTTTCCATTCTAAATTAAACATGCATACAAATACATATTTGCTCTTTGTAGCTTATGTTTAACATGTAGACTTTATAAATCCATGAAATAGAAAAGAAAAAAAGGCCTTCAGTTTCTTCATGTGATCTTGGCCATATCCTTGAACAATTATGAATCTTGAGAATTTTATGTGTGAAGTGACCATGTTATATTAATCTTCCCAAGAATCTGTTCTGATTTTAATTCTATGGTTCTAATAATGTTTAAATATATTCATTGATTTTTTTTAATACCTCAATAACATAAGAGTGCAGTCTCCCTAGAATAATATAAAAATTGACCTGGAAATAAATGTGAGATTACCTGGGTGAAGATTAAAGTACTGATTTATATATAGAATAACATGATCTCAGTCTCTGCAAAGGCAATAACCACTGGAAGTAAATTCTGTGTTCTTGACAAACTGATATAATGCAAGAAATACTGGTAAAAGCCATGAAGTGCTAGCTAGCTGCTTGAAGCCTCATTTGACTAAACTCTACCTTTTAGAATTTTCTTATTAACTAGGATCAAGGAAGTGACTAAGAAATGTGCTACTTTCTCCATATGAATAGCAAAAGATATATAGCATCACTATAGCAATCTGAGGGGAAAAGTGTCAGAAATAAAGAATGAGCATCATTCAGAACAAATTGACACTCATCCTTTATAGTCAGGAAAGATTAGGCTTGGCAGCACATAAATATGTGATCAAGACTTTAAGAAGACAAATTTAAAAACATTTTAAAAGATAAATATGATTTCAAAGAATGAGTCTTTGGAAGGAAATGCAGCTTTAGAGGAATGAATACCATCTGAAATGAAATTGGGACTTTATAGTCTCAAATGACCTCAAATAGAAAGAGAATAAGGAGGAGCCTTTAAGAAAAAAACCATTGCAGAGCACATAAGCAAACTTTAGTAAAAGCTCATATTTGTAAAGTACACATAAATCATAGAACGTATACATAGAATCAGAATGATGCTACACGTTTGGCAGACACTTAGGAGAGTAAAAAAAGAATAAGCCCCAGAAAGATTTTCATTTCCCTAAAATGCTAGTGAAATCATGATGGTCTTCACTTTAAAAAATGAAAGACTCCAAAGCATAGCAAGGGTAACAATTAAAAAAGAATAGACAATCAAATATTTTAAATTCATGCATTAAAGGATACTATCAAAAATGTGGAGAACAACTCACAAAGTGGAGATAATATTTAGAAATCCTATGTCTGAGAAGTTACTAATATCTGAAATATGTACCATACTAACAACAACAAGAAAACCAACACTCACATTATAAAATGGTCAGAGGAGTTACATAACCATTCCTCCAAGAATGTGCAATGAATGTATGAGAAGATTTGGAACATCACTAATCATTAGAGAAGTATAAATCAAACCAACATTGGACACCACTCCCTCCAATCAGATGATGAAATTGGAACCCTACATGTTGCTGGTGTGAATGTAAAATGATGTACCTGCAGTACAAAACAGTTTTGTGATTTGCCAAAAGATTGAAAGTAGATTTTTTTTCACCACATCATCCTGCAAGTCTGCTTTTAAATATATACTGAGAGCAGCAACCTGGGTGCTTGTGCACCAATGTTCATAGCAGCATTATTCACAGTAGCCAAAGGTAGAAACAAATCAAATTGGTGTTTTTGTTCTGTTTTTTTCTTCTGTTTTTCTTTTTAATAAAGACCAGGAGTACTGTAACTGAGCTACTTCTGTAACCCCTTTTTTTTCTTATGATGTATTGCTGAAAAGCATTATATAGTTTTATCTTTATTAAAAGGTATAGTTCTGTTTTTGCCACTTTTTTACTGTGTCCATATTGTTATGGGTTGTGCCAGTTCATTTCTTTTAACTGCTGCATGATTTTTCAGAGGATCACTCTATAACAGCTTTCAATCCCCTGCTGCATTGATGGGCATTTGGATTGTGTCCACATTGTTGCTCTTTAACACTGCTGCTACAAACATTTTTGTATGTGTCTCCACTTGTACTTCTATAGGAGTTTCTCTCAGATATATTACATTCAGATGTTTCACTTTAAGAGATAATTTCGAAGTGTTGTCCAACTGCTTTTCTAGAGTGGCAGTTGATTGCACTCACTTCCATAGCCTGTTTTATTTTTTATTTTGAGATAGGGTCTTGCTAAGTTGCCCAGGCTGGCCTCATCTTTTATCCTCCTGCTTCAGCCTCCCAAGTAGCTGGGGTTACAGGCACACATCTCTGTTTACCTTTTTAATAACTGTCATTACATTAGTCAGTGGTTGTGTGATTTTACGTGATCGATGCATATATGATTTTAAGTACAGCTCCATTGTATATAGTTGACAATGAAATGCACACATCTGTAGCATATGAGTAAACAGGGTTTATCTTATAAATACACACTGCAATCAATGTAAATTAAGATGTGTATCTCTAAAATTTTCCTTATTCCTGCTTCCTTCTCGTTTTGGGGATGGGGTCTCACTGTTTGCACAGTCTGTCCTTGAACTCCTGGGTTGAAGCTCTCAAACTCCTCAATAGCCAGTACTGCAGGTACGTGTTCTCTTTGGTCCCCCTCCCTTTGATTTTTATGAGACAAGGTCTCACTATGTAGTTCAGACTGGTCTTGAACTCAGTGTAGCCCTGGCTGGCCTTGAACTTGTGGAGATCCTCCTGTGTCAGCCTACTCAGGGGTGGAATTACAGGTGTGCGCCACTACACCTGACCAGATGCACATTCTTCCTCCCTCCTTAAGATCTTTCCTTCCAACTCCATCATTCCCAGACGACCATTTATCTGCTTCTTGTCTCTATGTTGTGTGTGTGTGTATTATATATAATATTTCCCTGAAAAATATTTTTATAATCTTATCACATCTTAAAAATAAAATCTCTTTCCTTGAGAACTGAAGATGATTTATTATTACTATAGCATTTTAAAAAACACTATTGGGCCGGGGATTTAGCTCAGCAGTTCGGTGGCCTGCTTCGCAAGCGCTAGGACCCGAGTTCGATCCCTGGTACCAAAAAATTAGTTAATTAATTAATTTAAAAAACACTATTTAAAGAGATAAAACTAATCTTTTCTGCATAAAATATGGTATAACTTTTATTTGCCTTGTTAAATTTCATCACTTCAACTGATACTTCCAATCTGTTACCATTTTTAAAAATCTGAGTCCAGTATTCAACTTACTTGATATTTATTAAGATGTTGCATTATTTGCCATTCCATCATATGCAATTATAGCTTTATCATAATCACTGAGCAAATTTACTTGAGCAAAGCTCAAGGCAAGCACTAGGATTTGCCACTTGAGTTTATCAGTAGACCTTTTGAGACTAGTTCAATAAATACCAAATAGTATAATTAATTGCCTGTAACTAATCTTTATTATTCTGTAATCTATATTATGACAGATCTTCCAAATGTACCATGTTTCCAGTCCTCATTGGTTTCCGACAGTAGGTACCCATAAATATCTGTTGAAATGAATTCAGATGAACAGTAATCAACAAAATGAAAACAAGTTCTCTTGTCACTATATACCACTTTCTCTTATAGTTGGAATAATAAGAGTCTATACCTAAATCTAAGTGAGAGACATATCAGTGAATCTAAAGACTGAGTACTGTTATCAGTTTTCTTTTGAGCAACCTATAGATTCAAAATAGCCCAGTCAGTCAGTATTCCAACATGAGTCAGACATGGTGGTGTGTATCTGTTATCTCAGCACTCTGCAAGGGCTGAGGCAGAAAAATCACAAGTTAAATAAAGCCCAGCCTGGGCAACCTAGGTATATAACAAGAACCTGTGACAGTAAAAAAAAAAAAAAAAAGTAAAATATC